TGACAGATCGAAAGCGGAAGCGTGCGATATTTAATGCGCTATAAACGGGAAAATCAAATTCCGAAAAGCAAAAACACGATGCTGATGTAGCTGATAATATCTCTGAAATTACTGAAGATGGTCGATGCTGATGTGGCTGATAATATCTCTGAAGTTACTGAAGATGGTCCTATGTTGGTGGAAGCATTTGTTTTATCGGTATGTGAATTTAACACAATACTGCTTGAATTTTGATATTGTTTGTAGCAGTGCTCATAATGGTGATATTTCTGATTATTTACTAGTTGATTATCACTTTTCAACTCCAATGCATGAAAAGTCGGCGTGAAGGGGAACTTACAATTCAAGAATTGGGACGCGTTGAAACAGAGATTGAATATCGAGATTATTGTATGGTCAAGGAACGTGTCGTTGACAGATCGAAAGCGGAAGCGTGCGATATTTAATGCGCTATAAACGGGAAAATCAAATTCCGAAAAGCAAAAACACTATAATTGCGTAGTTCTTGTACTGATGTCAAAATAGGTTTTACCAACTCCAACACCGCGAAGGTGCAGACATTATAACTCAAAGTAAAGCCCGAGTCGATGTGGCTTACCATGAAGAAGTGATAGTGAAAGAAGGCGTCGTAAGCGCTAAATTCAACGTGACATTCCCGACAAAGTTTTTTTGCATCTCCAAGAATGATATAATAATAACTTTGAGGCTTATTCCAAATCCAAAATATACGGCATTTATCCATTTCCTGATACTTGCACCATAAGCTCATTACACATTACTTTAATTTCTTGTGACTTACTCAAAAACCACTATTCTATTTACCGGCATAATACTCTTTGTGTGAAAAACCGTTCCCACATACCAAAGTAATCTCTTCGTCGACTGGCAAATCGCACAATTATTCACTATTTGATTTGAAAGGCAACATAACAATGGAGATCTTCAACCTCACATTCATAAGGCAACTATATTTGCTTAATGAAACATTCGTAATCTTAAAGCCCATACAAATTAAAAGGATATGTAAGAATACTACTTACGTAACTATACGCGATGAAAAATATAAATATAGTGATCGGTCGCCCGGTCGATTTACCGTACATGAATAATCGCGTCCGTTGAGCTTATTGGCATAAGCCACTTACAGCTCATGCAGATAAGGTAGACGCTCTAATTAGCCCCGTCTGCATTACGGCCATATCGGGTTGTTCTCAAAACTTATATAATTCCTTCTCTTTGACGCCTAATGAACCACTGCCATGCCACCAGTTACTCAGCCATCCAGAAAGACCGCGTTGATGTTGTTTTTCTATTTCTCGTTTCTGGGATATGATTGCCTTTTCTTACCGGAAACAACATTATGTGCGGCGAGATTCTTTGGAATTGTCTACTGATATCCCGGTCATATCGAAACATTACATGGTTATGTTCAGAATTTAAACAGAGTGCTAGTCTGTTAATGATTCCCGTTCATAGATGCCATCGTCTTTTGTGCGCGCGAATTTGAACTATAAAAGCATAAGTAAATTGATACGCATATTCGAATAACTGGATGAACGGTGTAGCAAAATACGGAAATAATTAATGATCACTTGCAACAATACTATTTTGGTGAGGTTTTTTTTTGCCATCATCCGTTGATGAAACATGCTGTATCAATTACATTTGAATTTATGTTCGACGCCGTCGGATGAATGAAATTCATTATCGTCGTATTTATTATGTTACATTCGAAATTTGTGTTCGATGAAAATGTATTATCGTATTTATTATATTTGGCTTAATGTTGGGTATGACATATAAAAGTTATTATTATACTGTCATCGTAGTCTTTAACACGATTGACGAATATACGCGATGCCACGTATGCCCGTGTCAACTACTAGTGACGAGAGTCAAATATTATTAAATAATATATTGATATATTTCCACCATAAAAACTGGCGGGGGACGGGCGGGCCCTATACATCTATCCCGCCTACTGTCATTGTGGATAAATGTTATGACAGTAAAAAAGTCCGAGCGGATTAAAAAAAAACAAAAAAGTTTAACCGCTCGGTCAACGTTCACCATCGGCGACGATAGGCATGCGTTTCTTCTTGAGTGCTGATTTTTTCGAGCACGAGAAACGCGGCGGTATGAGAACGTCTAACAAATTTATAGCATATTATTCAATAAATATTCGTATAGTACTAGTCGACCATCAAAGCCTGATACTTACGCGGCCCCCGCCGCCATCGCTTCTCGGTCATGGTAAGCCGTTTTATCGGTGTAAAACCTACCCACCTACATAATGAATAAATGCGCGATATTAAGCATGACTAAGCACTAAAATTGATCGAGACTTAATAATTAGTATCGAATTATACGGTAAACTTACCGAAAATATTGTTCCAAAGTCGCGTTTCTCACGACTGCCGGCAGACAAGAAGGTCGTTGCTCATATCACCAGCAGGCCAGTTATTTCCCGTTCGGGCCCACTTATTTTCTGAACGATAGCGAGAGCAGCCCGCGAAAGTAATAAAAAAAATCCTTTTTTTTTATTGAGAAGCAGAAAAGTTAACGTTTATGGTTATTTTCGTAGGCTTATATTTATTAAAACCAAGGAGGAAGACTTTTTTCCAGGCTCTTAATAAACGTACATATCCCAGGACTGGATCGCGCAAATAAAAAGTTTGTTGTGGGTTGAGCAAAATGTAAACAACCGACGTGACTAATTAATAATCTGAAAATCACTTACTAAAAAAATTTAGCATTTATTTATTCGAACGATGATCGACGCGTTTAGTGTCAAAATTACTACAACACACATCTCAAAGATTAAAAGTGCTCAACTTTAAACAAACATTGAATAGCTTGTTTTAAAATATGCCAGTTTACTGTCTATTTGCATACTGTTGGGACTGATGGATTTTTACACAATATAATTATTCTGAGAACAGAAATACTGCAAACAGCAGGTTTGTATGGGTTTGTGTTGTGTATTAGTGAACCTATTATTATAGATAATTGGGTTGGTTGTCAAAATATTCAAATAACATCTTTTATATGTTAGGATCCTAAACCCGACTGTGAAATTGTGCAAAAGTGGGAATCAGAGCATACCAAGAAACAAGTCCATCTCTACAACCTGACATTCATTGGCCAAGGTATTGGAACTGTAAGTGGCAGGACATCTTACTATATGGACACTATTTTGACTTTACACTTTATTAACATTAATTAATCTTAATGATTTAGTATACTTTTTATTATATGTTCTGAAAGCTTTACCTTTGGCCTTGGATGACCATTTGTGTATGGAAGAACATTAAGTTCTCATATTGGAACGAAATTTCTTGGCAGAGGTGTGAAATAAATCAGCACCAAGTCAAAGACATAAGCAATCTTTTGAAAGAGGGCAATGACTGAATTTGAGGAGACAGATGGTAGGTAATCAAATGGGTAGCTAGCTTGACCCCTGATGAGAGTTAGTCACTTGAAATAAGAGTTTGCATAACAACAATTTGACCTTCTGTCTAAATATAAATCAACTTTATTTTTTAATTATAGGGTATTCTGGATGTACCAGAGCAACAATGCCAACTTGTAGACATTAATCAAAAAGGTCCCCTCCTGCTTGATCTTAGAATCAAAGCATCTACTCATAACATTAAAAGAAATTAATCAAAAGGGAGGGAAATGGCCCCCTTCTGTTTGGTACTCCAATAAAGACTGCCAATATGTCTTGTAAATGAAAAATTGTTATTAGTATTAGTAATAGTAGTAATATTGAAACTTTATTTTATTAATTATAAAACTTTCTTTGTTGATCTTATTATTATTGTAATTGTTATTATTATTGATACTATTAACTTATTATTATTGCTTGCAATATAGTAAACTATACAGTATCAGTATGCTTATTAAGGATTTTGAAAATAAATTAGTATTACTCTTATTTGATTACAATATGTCACTAGTGGTTAACAAATGAATCATTTAGACAGTCAAGTTTTCAATCTAATGGAATCAATAAGTTCTTTAGATTTAACTTGTGCAGACTGCATCAAACATCAAAAAAAGCCCTAGTACTAGAAATCCACCTAAGACTAAGATTGAGGTAGCCAGGCCAGGTGAATTTAGCGTTCAGTCATATGTGCGTACAATAAAGAAACGCGAACGTCCAGGAAATTTACTTATTTTTTCAACGGACTTTTCCTAACCACGGCCAAGTACTCTAAATTAATATTCTTCTTAAATCTTCCTCTTCCGAATTCCACCGGTTGCCAGATCCATCAGGGGAGGTAAACTTATGAGAGCACCCTAAATATCAAAATTGCCAATCACTAGCGCAATTTTTTTTTGTAATCAACAAGCCATGTCCAAGGCAGAATTCAAATTTGCTGATACATTTCAGTGCCTTGCCATTTTGCTATCATGAATTAAGCATCAAGCGAGCGCTTCTTATTGCCAACGGTTTGGTGACAAAAAATCTTTCCCCTCTTACATGATCACATACCAATAATATTCTCACTAGCGAACAGCAATTATAGAAGCAAAGCGTTACCATATCAGCCAACGCAGATAGCTAACATGGACTGCTGCATAACTATTATAAACACTCACATGCACTGTCCGACGCAAGTTTGTTGAGTTTACCAGGCGTCATACGTACATTGAGAATGGGGAATAATAAATGATGTGCGTCAATTAATTATCACACGTTTGATTTTATTATGAATCAACAAATGACGCGTACGTTATCTGGTCGCTGTGTCATTTCAAAACATACTCACGCAAATAGTATCAAATGCACAGCATCTCGTTTATCATACGTATAACGTGCTTGATGCGTGCTTACTGTACCAATCGATCATCCATATTATATCATGACGATTGAAAAATTCCGGCAAAAGTTCTTGGGAAGCGACGTTAAAAAAACGTATGGACGTGTGGTGTGAAAGTATCAGATTATCCGTGGCGTAGCAATACAAGTAGACTTTTACGAGCAAGTCTCTGAGGCCGGTAACATTAAGAGTATTGTCTATCGAGTACGGGGGGTACGCGTGTTGGGAATTTAAACATAACGGAAGCTGCAATGCCCTATAGCTTGGTTTATGTCGTAATCTACAAATCTTAATGTTTGTGCGCGTCCTTTATCGAAGACACAGCATTTTGTAGGATGGATTGCATCAAAAATGACGAAACGGGCAAGATTGGTCTGCAAGACGTTTTTACTACTATGACAAATCACCCTTTAATAAGAAACGCACATACGCATCATCCTACCAACGGAGTGGATAATAAAGCATTCAATATATAAAACTAATATAAGCAACAAAAAGTGTTGTATCAAATCGCTTTACAAGTATTTAATACCTTTTAAACATTGTGATGTGACAATATTGCAATCCATTTAGGCATATCAGCATTATCTCACAACATTATTATACTCTAACTAAATCTTGCAAGCCGTCTTATTCTAAGTTCTTCTAGTGTTGGCGGCGGTGAGGAGGATGTTGTAGACTGGCTGTTGATTTCAGCTTGACTTGAACTGGATGATTCCTGTTGTATATCATTTGTCGGCAAAAGACTTGCTGCAATAGCAGCGCGCAGCATTTCTTCATCAGTATCCGCGCTCTTTTTACTTCCGTTAGCTTCCGGGTGAGAGGTTGCATAGTCATCAGCCTGACATGGAGGAAATATTCCCTTCACAACAAATATGCTGTATCCTGTGTATGAATAATAATCTGTTAGCATCTTAATATTTATATTTCCACTCTTTTTTGCATCTTTTCTTACCATCATTCTTTAATTGGGTCAATAACATTCCTAAATAAGTCTGACTAATCCATTCCGGGCCTTTTAGTACAGAATCTAAGTTATACCAACGCAGAGAACTATTACCAAACTTCCTCAAAGTGAACCTGATATAAACATGAAAAGATGGGTTAAAAAGATAGAAGCGGAATCTGGTTGCAATCATGGAATGAGCGTTAAAGCAATGAGTTACCAGTGTTCGTGCAGATTACATATGTATGCAATTTCGTTCCTTTCAAATAAAGCGTAATGAAAAATATTATCAATATGAAATATCCGAATGCTTCGATTTAGATATTTTGTGACAGACTCTTACTCTGGATGAATACGCGCATCGACACAGTCTTCTGAACCATATGGAATTATATCTAAAAGAGGTTGAACGCCAGATTAACCGACGCAAAGTAAGTCAAATACGTTGATCAGCTTGGTAAACTTGATTAACTGATACTCAAACGGCAAAGTTTGACATGATTATTAATTAAGTCAGATACCCTTACCGATATTCCATATCTTCAATGCATTGACGAGTACCTGCGTTGTAAAAGAGTTTGACTTACTATGTTGACAATCATGCACTGGTTTGTAGTTAAAACGATATGCGTACCTGGACTGAAAAAAATCCGGTATCGTCCATATTCTGACTCTTCTTTGCTTCGCTTCCCTCATTGTGTTCGTCTGTCTTATTCAACGCAGCCAATTCTGCTTCATCTAGGTCTCGAGCAATATCGCTCAGATCAACGGCTGTAAAATATTCGCCTGAGACGAAGAGTGTTTGTCCGAATGAGAGATCAAGTTTATGTGATGATGAAACATGAATGGGAACAGCATACCTTGAAGAAGTGCGTTAAGACAATGTTGGGCACATAAGTAACCCTCTTGCTTTGATCAACAAGTATTAATATCAGCATGTAGCCGTTTCATACAAGTCTATGGGATTGCTGGCTGTTTACCTTTTCCCAGAAAAGATAGGGCAGAAGATCGGACATTTCGGAGGAAATTAAAGTTTTGCGTCAATCGTGATTTTCCACTTAAATGTGGGGGGTCACGGAAGATTTCAGGGTCTAACTCCGATTATTTTCACATGTCACAGTCGCGTGCTAATAAGAAAAGCCAAGTCTTAGCAACCGCAGTATGTAATTACGACAGATTATTATTGTCTCTACAAATATAGAAAAATACAATAGCGCTTAGTTATTTCTTCAGCATCTTACTCTTAATTATCCAACTAAACATACAATAAAAAATTTTAATCAATTGCTATTCAAAGTGCATTCGTTTGTAATAAGTTTGTCGTTGATCCTGAATTTGACCAAAATTTTTACTTCTTTGCTATCGGGAATTAGGTAAAAAGGATTCCAGAAGTGGGTGGTGATAAAAATGAAATTGGGAAATGCAATAAATTGATATTAATAGTTGTAGCACTTGGTAACGAGAATGTTCAACAGAATAAATTATGACTTAATACTGATGGTAACGTTACAAGCTAGCCAATAAAATGAAGAATGAAAAGATATTAATCTTTACACAGATAGCAGTAAAAAAATTTGGAACAATTTAAAGATTGCGAAATATTGACATTGATAATTACTCGTTTTTGCGGAGAGAACTATAAAAGAAGTTAAAGGAGAAAGAAGAAGAACGGCCAGACTAGAAACATCTACTAACAATAATACTGCTAGCGAAAAAACATACAACCGGAAATAATAAAACGGTGGTAATAGAAGCAGAAGTCACTGAACAGGGAGGAAACGGTGGAGAAGCAGAAAATAAATTGGCAGTTCAGAATAAACCCTTTGATTCAAAGTGTTCTGGTGGGGTAAAAAAAATTTTTTTTTTGATAAAATTCTCAATGACCTACTGCAGTAAGATTTTACTACAGTCAATTCTCCCCAAATAAAAATATAGGTAATCACGTGATATAGTATCATACCGATATCATCAATATGTTTACTTTTACGCAATAATAATCTTACTTTACTTTTCCTTAATGTACCTCTCAATGTATTTTTTTTGTGAATAAAAAATGCTTCAGGCTCTTAATACAACATTAGCACTGATAACAGCCGTTTTAGTGCTATTACCTATATATTCCAGGTTACTGATTTCTCATTTCTACATCTCTGATGTATGACCTGATGTAACGACCGCACAACGCGGGTGGCAAATCACAATATTAGAATGCCTCCTTGGGATTGTGAAATCTGTTGCGCGTGCAGCGTACATTTATCATTAATTATTTATCATCAATTCCGAGGTTGGGGATTTGAAATATCGTGCACTTAAGGAGAATGTGCATTTAGAGAGAGCTGGTTCCTCAAACATTTGTGATTGTAACGAAGAGCGTGACTGTGGGGGGGGGGGGTCTGATTGTATATCTGATATGAATCTTCTTCAGAAGGAATGTACAAAGATGGTTTAAGCTTTATATTTATCGTGAATGTTGATTATACTATCAAACTACCAACGTTGGTTTCAGATAAGAAATTGCACAAGACAGATTGACTTGGTTATTTACTTTTATTTTTGTCAACATTAATTATTTGCTTTTTCTTAAAAAAAATTGCATGACACCAAAAAAGTATCGCTTACTGTTCTCTGGCTAAGAAATGGTGTGCACTCTGGTTTATTTCTACCAATCATATAGTCAACAAGAAATGAAGAAAAACCACATCTGGTTAATGACCAGAACCTATTGAACTTTTTTGATAGACTGCAAACCGGATTGTATTAATAACCGTTTTTTTACGATGGAAATATCATATTACGCAAACTTACAATGTTAGCGTCAATCAATCGAGTGTGCTTTGAATTAGGTACTCTCTGAAAAATCTCCAGCAGTTATTAATGTGACTCATAAAACATGTAGTCAACCATATTAATATATTAACGTTTTAAATATTTTTAGCAAACGCGTGTTTTATTTAATAAACAAATATTATATTGTATACACGATAAACAACACTACGACGACTTATCTCCACCATAATTCTCCCTCCATATTCCGTCTCTTTCTCCTTGAGAATATCTTCGCGCATTGGCAGGCAGTTGCAGAATGCCCATTTTTGGCGAATTGTAGTGCTAAGGGAGCTTGCATAACGGGAGCGCGTCGGCACCAAAAATATAAATTGATTTTTAAAAAATAATAAAACAAAAGGTGTTTGAATTTCGGTATAAAAAAAAATTGGTTTTTCGATTAGAAGCACACAAGATAAATTCGGTAATTATGATGGTGAATTTATCATGTTTAAAGAATTATTATTAGTTTTTATTAAAAAATGATTAAAATTTGTTTTATAACAAAGCCATTTTATTAAAAGGCTTTTTTATTCTCGACCGAGAAAGTTTTTTTGGGGGGTGAATGGCCGCGTGTTATGCACCCGCAGGTGATTTGAATTAAAACATAGCCAGTGTAAAAATACGTGTGGTCAATTGCAGAAGTATTCATAATGATTGATGTGTGGAATGTAATGATCGCGCAGACTAGGAAAACGATGGGATTACTAAATGTAAGGCCTAAATATAAAAGTGATCGGGATCTGCGTTCTATTTCAGTAACAACGGTTTCGAATACTGTTTCGAACCTTCTCGAAATCCGTTTTCGAACCATCTGACTCCTTTTTTAGCATTGAGTATCCTATTGTCTAATATGTCGAACTGCTCATCATTGCTTTGATATAACCTTTGAGTGTGCAGATTTTTCGATCGATTGTTCAACACGCACCAATTTCAACCTCAAACAACAAACAATTACACAGCACGACACCGGTCATGAGAACAAGCACACGCTGGTTTCGTGTCAATGAACTTCCAGGTCACACAATGAACAACCACACGGAATGAATAAACCTTAAATTTGTTATTATTATACATTTCAAATGTAGGGCTAAACCTTTCCGGCAGTGAATGGTTAAAAGGGAGTTAATGCCAATTCTGCAGGTGACTATTTATCAAATTTCAAAACTTCCACTAGCCCTTTGAGAATCCATAAACAGTGACATCTAGCTGACATCCGTTCAAAAAATATTCGTTGTGATACGATTATCTCAAATAGAATTCTTACAATGCTACATCATCTAACGAGTTGACAATGTTAACATTCCGTAATGTAAATTACAACAATTACCGATTTTTATCTCTCGATAATTCACGATACGAAGAGACCATGTTTCTCTTCAACTAAAAAAATTGATTTCACCCTTTATTTTGTAATGAATCCAATTCATTCAATTTCAATTACATTTTGCACGCCTTCTTCTTAGAGATGAATAACACCTGCTTTGTATTTAGGCGCTTGCTTCGATATTCAGATGTCAGAGGGGACAAAGCCGCCATGAAAGTAGCTGCCTGCTCCTGACAATCACTAACTTGAACAGAACTACTAGTAACAGACCATCATCTTGCTTGCATTGACTGGTTTTCCGTCACTGGATTTCAGGTGGCTGCTATTACAATCACTCATTCCCACAGAATGATTATCGTTGATGTTATCGTCAATCTTATTGGATCGGTAAGATGAACATGTCGTCAATATTAAATACGTGCAATGATTTTGGTAGGTAATAAATCATTACAAAATCGATGTTTTGCACAGATTGTCTTGGCCATTGAACCATACCTCGTGAGTTCTGGACGAAAAAGATAAATGAATTATATTATATGCGTTCATACTATTCACAAACCAGCCGAGTCTGACAAATGTCTATCAAGACTTAGTCACAGAAAAACAAATCATTGAAACCTACCGAAAAAGATATAATCGAGGAGCAGATAGTCGATAAGCCTGCGGTTAAGGGCCTCAGTTCCGTCTTCAACAGCGCATAGTCGCTCTAACCGAGAACATTTCCGTCCCCGCTCAAGGCTGTGTCGTTACCAGGTTCTACGTCACCGACAATAAGCAAATAACGTTATTAACCAGAGTTCATCAGTCTCATCATCTTTCTGTTCCGCTCCTCCTCCACTTCCACTCCCACCAACAACCACGTGACCAGCCCCCACATCGAATATACCGCCATCAAAGATTACTCTTGCACACTCTCGTAACAGTTCATTCACACTTACATCAAGTCCATCACGTTCAACATCGCTGTTCCATCCTCAAAGGCAACTCCTCCACAAATATTAAAAATCTTCTTCTTTAACACTGGCTAAATTATTGAAGCCTTTTTGTACTGCATTCTCTTAAAAATATTGTGGATGCGTTCCTGGTTCTTTTTGGGTCTCCGTTTTTGTTTAGCGTAGTATTGTATTCCGTTCATCTTCTAACATGGGATCTAAATTACACAGTTCATAAAGCGTACAATTAGATCTACTCCGTCATCTTTGGGGAAAGCACTACAATTGTCAATACCCAGCACTCGGCATTACTAAGCTACTCACTTGAAATCCAAGAATTGTTGATTTAATCGTGAATTGATTAAAATCGAATATTTGCAAAAATGTTAACCTTGGCGCGAATGAGTTTGGAACATCTCGACAAAAATCATTTATCGAGGACCACATCCTGAGTATAATAATAATGACCAATTTCAATATTTGCAAGTTTCTTCCCCTGCAAACGATTTGCACAAAAAATATCGAGACTTTTACCTCTTTGTATTTGTATTTGACTAATACATACCAGATTGTCAAAAGAATAATATTAAGATATGTCCGGAAATTTGTATATGCTATTTGTCCATAAATTGGCTGAGATTAAATAATACGCGTGTTAATTGAGATTGATAAAAAGGCGACTATTAAATTTACAGTCAATGTAAACCTATAAGTTTCGAGATATTACCGGAATATTGAACAGCTTGAATATTCCACTCTGGGAATATTAACAATGTCAGCAGATTGATAAATAGGAATTTACCGACTGATGGCAAGACGTGGATGTTGTAAAGGTCTTCGTCTGAACCGGAATTGTCTCTTCCAATGTTTGAGATTATCGCCTATGCAGATTTAATTAACGATTAATAAATCCGCTCGCTTTATTGCTTACTCGTTGAGTATTCATTCAGATTCCACGTCCCACTATACGCCTCGCTAGCTGTCCATACAGAGATTAAATAATATTCCCAATTTCAAACCCACCTCGCATTGTTTTGAAAAACAGAATATATGCATATACCAATATTTGAACGAAAATCCGGTTGTTATACATATCCGCCTGTAAGCTAAGGCAATCAATAAACATATACCACAGGGCATTAAATGTTTAGTATTAATGAGCGCTCCAGTTAGCAGAACGTAAGTGAAATTTCTTTATTACCTTCCTTAAAAGATGTCGATCTAGTCTTGCATCACTGTTTACGTGTTAAATTGCGGACGGCTTGAGGGTGGACATTTCCCTTCTCAAATTCAAATTACAAAACTCCATTCTTGGAGAACGCGTAGGTGAGTATACTGCATGTTGATGTATGACAGTATATATTAGAATATCACAATGGTAACTGATCCTGTTTTATTATCGGAAGGTGCAATTAGAAGGCAGTGTTTTTCTGTTAAGGTTGGATCGATCTATTCCATCGACTAATGCTGAGAATTGTAAATTGAAATAGGCGATTAGACATGGAAATTAGAGACCATACAACTGAAGAATCAAATATGCTAACCCCTTAATAATAATAATTCCCCCAA